CTTGCTATTCCTACGTTTGGGTCTTTTCAAACAGAGTGGAATCCTCGTTCTTCTACCCTATCCAGTGGCCTCTGTGCCACAGGAGGGGTTCCGAATGCAAGTAAGAATTTTTACTTGATCCACTTTGCATTTAGGAATAAATTGAATTACACCTGTAGCAGAGAAACTTCCTATTCACTGACAGGAGTAAATGGAATGATTTAGTACTTTTTAAGAAAAACCTGTTATTATTAGCCTTTCCATTTCAGCCGAAGTCAGAAATGGTATTTCGTGTTCAAACAAAGACATAGATTTTGAAGAAACAGGTGACTTCTGAACCTCCTGGAAGTCACCCAAGCATTAACTCATTTTAGAAAGGTCTTCAGGAAGAACAGCAGTAGTCTAACTTGTGCCAGACAGAAACAGAGGAATGATAAAATTTTGTTTATTTGTTGTGCCAACAAACATTTATCAAGCCCCTTACTCTGTGCCGTGATTCCCATTTTATGGAAGAGACCCATGGGGCTTAAAAGGTAAAATAAATAACAGAACCTGTTCTTCCACCAAGTTTGCTGAATAAATCCAGTGCTTCTCTATCAAATCACAGCTATTTGTATGCAAAGCAATGGAGTTTCACAGGTAAAAGTCTCCACTCCTGCAGAACTGGGACAAACTGTATTTTCTTGGGAACCCCAGTGCCTCCCAGGGCCTCGATCTCGGGATGCCAGCAGGGATTGTGTGCTGGATGGGTTCCTGAATGACTGAATGAAAAGACAAGTACTACCTTTTATACTTTTTTAAAAGCTTCCTTTACCCAGCTGAGAGGTTTCTCTCCATGGAAGGTGTATTTTCCCCAGAATAAACCCAAAGTGGATCAAAAGGCTTTTTTAAAAAAAATTCCTACTCTTCCCACAAAGTGAAAAAAAGTTCCTTTGTTACTTAAAATATCTGCACCAGATCGTACAATGCTGTCTCTTAGCGCAAGTGCTTATTATTGTGGCTAATTTGGTCACATGTGTTTGAAGGAGAACAATGCCTCAGAAATTTTTAAAAGCAAAACAGCAATCTGAGGCATTTGTTGTAATGAGATGTAAATTGCCAACATCGGGTAGTAGAGCCGACTAAAATTTGCAATGAAATGTTTTTCTCCCCCTTCCCTTAAATTAAACACGCTAGAGGCCCTCCCTCTTCTCCCCAAAGAAATCACATGCTCTTTTTGTTCCTTTTCTTTCGGATTCTGTAATACTGAACACCCCCTTTTACTGATCGATTCATTCCTTCATTCATCTGCCGTTCGGGGAGCCTCTGTTTTGTGCTGCCTCAGTGCTGGGCTCTTCCAGAGGCATTTTCGACCCCCACTTTGCAGGTAGAAGCCAAGGCACGGAGAGGTGAGGTGACTCGTGTAAGGTCATGCAGCTCTGATTCACACCCGGTCCCCTGAGGAACGCCTCCCAGGACGTGTGCCTTCGGCTGGCCTGCCATCCTTACTGAGGCCGAGGAGCCAAGTACCTTCTGTATACGGTGCTGAAGAAGGGGGAGTCGCAGAGAGCAGCCTTGGGTGCTGCCGAGGGCGGTAGGGAACAGTTTTCCTTGAAGGCCAGCAGACCCCTATACAGTAGTCCCGGAGGAGACAGCCCGAGCCCAGGGCTGTGCCGGGGGTGCCAGGACGGCCCTGTCTCCGCCGAAGCCCCGGTTTAGCAGTGACTAACGGAAGCAGCCAGGGATAATGGGGGGGGGGGGGCGGCGAGCATCGTGTCCTGAGGGCCCACTCGGTGCAGTGGTCATTTCATATATAGGGTCAACTCATCTTCAGTCTTGCCAGGTCTCCATTGTGGCTCCTTCCTTCAGGTGAGCCAACAGGGTCAGAAAGGTTAAGTAATTATTAATGTGGAAATTAGCTGTTGAGGGTAGAATGTGAACCAGGCACCGTGCTGAGCCCTGGTCTCTGAACTAAAAGGACACAGTCCCTGCCTGCCCTCGGGCCTCCCCGTCCAGTGGGGGACAAGTGGGGGAGACAGGCATAGAAAGAGTTGAGTGCGGCTGCTCGTTGTGGGGGTCTGAGCCCGGTGGGTGGGCACAGAGCTCCCCACCTGAGGGAGGTCACAGTTCACCTAAACAGGCAGTGGCACATCCAGGATTTAAACCCCAATGTCTGACTCCAAATTCTAAGCCAAGGGGTGGAGACAATGACTCCCTCCTTTTGAAGAGATGGAGCCACTTCATGGAAGAGGTGGCATTTTGAGTCAGGCCTTGAGTTGCCTGGTGAAGTTTGGCTGGGTGGACGTCTGTGGGATGGAGTGGTCTGACGGCAGGAACAGCGCAGGCCCAGACTGGGGAGCCAGAAGGGGTGGTGTTTGTGTGGAGGGGGCCAGGCTGCACTTTGGAGTGGAGTCTGACTGGGGGGTGGGGGGCAGCAGCAGGTGGAGCCAGAGAAGCATTTGACTCTCAGCCTTCACCCCTGATGTCCCTTATGTGTCCGTCCCTCTGTAGCCATCGGAATCACCTGTCCTGGCTAGCTGTTTCTGATTTGTTTGACAGCCCCAATTTCTACTTCACGGGCTGCCAAAAAGGTCACAGAAGTTTAAAAACGGCTCCCACCCGCCCCAGGCTGCACCCCACAGCACGTCAACTCAGCAGCAGGGCTTTATTTCAGAACCTTTGCCCCAGCCTGCTTAAGTCCCCTCCTCCCTCACAACTCTCTCCCCTCCCGTCACAGAGAATTTGCCGAGATCCTGCAGTGTACCAGGCACTGTGTTGAGGGTGCCAAGACTGCAAAGACAGTAAAATTTTGCCCCCAAAGAGTTTCACAATCTAATGTGGACGATAGACACAGATTGGCAGATGATTGCAGACAGGATTTTCTAGAAGTATTTACAAAGCAGAGACACCCCCACCCCCACCCAGTCGTGATCAGAGCGAGGTCTCACAGAGGAGACACCTAAGCTCCATTCTTGGCAGGCAGATGAGGTGGTGTTGTGCCAGGCTGAGACAGGAGCACGTCCAGAGGCACGGAGGCCTGTGACAAGCAGCACAGGGGGCCCTGGGCCGCGGTGAGTGCAGAGGAGGCAGGTGTTCTGCGCCTGAAGGAGGCTCCGATGTATGACCTCATCTTGATGGTAGGAAGGAAGGCGCTAAGCAAGGAAGGACGCGGCCTTAAGGAGATCTCATTGGCCACCATCGTGGACACAGCTGGGAGAGAACCGGGCCGAAGTCAGGGCCGAACTGGAGTCCTTCTCTTGTCCACCATCTTCTCACAGAAGGAAACAAGAGGCTTTGGAGGAAGGACAGAGATGACCTGTGAGCCAGTGCCACAGGGACCTCATCCTCTCAGCCCAGCGCTTTCTCCTGTTGCTGGACTCAGAGCAGGAAGACACTTCAGATGCCACGCCCTCCGGGGAAGCCAAGGAATGACCTCTCCCCTGGTCTAAGAAAAGACCAAATGCTCCACTTGAGTTTGTGTCTCCGAGTCAACCTGAGATCTCACAGGAGAACCTTCGGCATCTGCTTCTGAAGTCGGATCCTTCATTCATTGTTGTCCTTCCTGTATTCGTGTAGCAAACATTCAGGGAATAGCTCCTCGGTGCCGGGCGCTGGGGACGACGGGAAGAGCAAGGCCCGGGCCCGGCCCTTGCCTAGCTCACTCAGCGTTAGCGGATGCCAGCGGGGCAACCAGGATGCCACCTGCCCTTCTCTGCCAGCTCCTGCATCTCCAGGTCACTCACCCGGGGCCACACTACGACACAGTAGAGCAGGCACACACCTGGCCTTACCCTCCCGGGATGGGCCGCGCTTCTGGATCCGACCATCCTGCTCCCAGCCACGTGGCATTCTGCTTCGTACAGGGCCCACGCTTGCAAGCTTGGAGACCGCCCAGCCTCTGTCTTGCAGATGGCAGCCATGAGCAGCTCGGGACGATAGTCTTGTCCTGGGAAGCTCTGTCATGAGGAATTTTAGTAACAAAATCCCCAGCACCTTCTCAACCACCAGCCAAAGTCTAGGCTGTGGCAACTGAACGTAGAATTGCGACTAGACGGTAGGGCTTTGGTGTATAAAGAGCCCTGTGCCAGGTGATCCACGTGGTTAGGATAAGGGAAGGGGGGACCATGAAAAGCATCGGTTACTTAAGGTAGAGGCACGGCCCCCGGACCCGCAGAGCAGCAGCTCAATCCCTGATCCTGGACAACCTCTGACAGGTTTGCAAAGGGAGCATTTCCAGGGTGCTGAGCTCTCCGTTGGCCTGTGGAGTTGCTCTCCTGCAAAAGATAATCAAGTCATTCAGTCTTATTTACTCATTTTCATCCTGTTTCTCTGCCCTTTGGTAATCAAGACACAATAGGTGATTTTAAAAAATAGTCCATCATTTTTAAACGCTAATGGAGAAGAAAAAAAATATTCTCCTTAGAAAGCACCACCATTTATCCAGCTTCCTTTTGCTGTTTAAACTGCGAGTAATTTGTGTTGATTGCATTAAAATAAAAATCAGGGTAGCTGCTAGATCAGGCAATCAGAAGCTTAATCTGTATTGTATTTTAATTTCTTGGTTGAAATGCTCCTGTCTAGCTCCATACTAGGTCTTAGGGAGGGGGAGCCTTCTGCTTTCCTACCCTCCCTTCTCTAGCTGTGGCCTGCTCCCCTGGAGGCTGCAGGGGGTGGGGGGTGCTTTTGGCAAAGGCGCAATTTGCATATTGCAGCGATGGCCACCCCTCCCACCCCGGTCTTAACAGGACCTCTCTTCTGAGCAGACAGTTGAGTCCCCTGCATTTCCATTCAGACAAGGACACCCTCAAAGACAGCTTCTCCTTCACAGTTAGAGCCTAGTTCATTCTTGTCTTCCAGTTTTCTTCCTTTTTCCTTGTGACATATCATATTATTTTCAAACCTGGGTTTAAGTGTAGTCCAATGGACAAAATAAGCCAGCATATTTATTTTGTGCCACTATGTGCTGATAGATGCGTAGTTAAAAATATTTGCCTTTTATTTTCCTTGGAGTTCTAGACAGATCTCTTTTCTTAACTGCCTAGGTCCTGCCATTGACTTGGAAAAAGTAAAGTCAGAATGTCTCGAGCCCGAGCCGGAGTTACGGAGCACTTTCAGTGAGGAAGCAAATACGTCGTCCTATTACCCCGCTCCTGCACCTGTCATGGACAAGTATATCCTAGACAATGGCAAGGTAGTGTTTCAAGCTCACTATCCATTCCCTGTGAGTGTTTGTTAGCTAGAGTAATGATGGAGAGTGTGGTGGGAGCTTCCTGAGGCACAGCTTGGCCGGCTGGCCTCCTGGCCCGGGCCTAAGTAACTATTTCCAGAATTCGTGTGTTGTAACTAGTGGAGCTGTACTGGGACTTGTTCTTTTCTGACCCCCCTCCATGTTTTTTTAAATACTGGGCCAAAGCAATTGTAAAACTCAACTGACATTTTAAAATAGCTTAGTAGTGAGAAAGATTTTAAAAAGCATGGCCGGGATCCCTGGGTGGCGCAGCGGTTTGGCGCCTGCCTTTGGCCCAGGGCGCGATCCTGGAGACCCGGGATCGAATCCCACATCGGGCTCCCGGTGCATGGAGCCTGCTTCTCCCTCTGCCTGTGTCTCTGCCTCTCTCTCTCTCTCTCTCTCTCTCTCTCTCTCTCTCTCTCCCTCATTCTGTGACTATGATAAATAAATAAAATAAATCTTTAAAAAAAAAAAAGCATGGCCGTTTGATGAAACTTGTCCTACCTTCCTATAAAAGCAGATACATAAAATTTGTAAGGTGTACTAGATATGAAACACTCTGATTGACCGATAACTCAATACGTATCTATTCACTATTTACGACGTACCTACATGTTCTAAACCGAATGCTAGACCCCGAGGATAAGCTGGTGAATGAGACATGCTCCTTGTTGCTCAGCTGTTTCCGAGCTGTATATCCAGCAGTGGTTAGCTCACAGTCCTAGGACTACATATATCTGCTCAGATTGTCTTGTAGGACCCTTAGAAAAAAATCCTGAGAGAAAATCTGAGGACTATTAGTAATTATATTGGTACAGGCGTGAAAAAATGATGAAGTAGCCTTGGAAAACCGTAAAGTCACCTGATACAGCAGCAGGGCAGGGAGGTAACTGTTGTGATATCCTTCTGACATCCACATGGATTCATCTTGGGAGAAGGCTGTTGGAGGCCTTTGTCTAGGCACTGGTCAAGGTCAGTGGTAGTGTTCTGTGTCTGCCACCGTGGCGTACGTTACAGGCATCACCTCTCATTCTCCCCAGAGAATCATCTGTGTCAGTCTATTTTTCTTGCCTTGTGCTTCAGAAGGTCTCTGTTTATCCAGTATTGTTCCCCAGTGGGCTGATGAGAAAGGAAATGTTGTTTTATTTGGGTTCTTCCAGCTACACCCCTGCACTGGCCAAATGGAGACAAAAAGCAAATATTGTCAGCCGAGGAAATGAAATGTGTTAGTCTCGAGGGCTGTCTTGGTTATCCCACCATTCCCTCCTCTCCCACTGAGCACTACCTCCCCCGCAGAGGCAGAACTGATGCGCCAGGCCATCGCCCGTTCTGTCTTGACCTGCTCCAGCCAACAGGCTTTAAAAGCCTGCTTTTCAGGGGAGAGGCGGCATGACAGGGTGGAAGGAAGAGCCCAGAGCCTGCAGGCCCCACGGAGCTCTATCTCTGTGTTTTCTGTGGGTGGGGCCTTGCTTGGGTGGGCCTGTCCCTTCTCTGGGCCTCAGGATCTCCATCTTGGCAAGGTGGGATGGGTTATCGCTCTTCATAGGCCTTGAATGACTCCAAGTGCACATCTAAGTTGGGTGAATCTTCTTCCATCGGAGATAAAAGAAAGGACTATTCTATGTTGATTTCTTTTTAGTGATGACCACACTGTAGAGTGGCTAGAGACTTTCTTAAGATAGCTTCCAAGAGAAATATCTTTCTCTCTTCCTTTGATGACTGACAGTTTCTGAGCATTATGGGGGCTTCTTTTGCAAAGATATCATTTTTCCATCTCCAGGAAATGGGTCTCTCAAACCTCATTTAATGTTTTTAGAGGAGTTGCACAACAAATCTTAAAATTGAAAATTTTTTTTCGTTGGTTGTTGCCAACATGTTGCTATAAAACTGACCTGACTTTTGTTTACAACTAATTTGTAGTTCAGCAGAGATATTTATGAAGGGAGAGGAGAGGAAGCGGCCAGGCTAGAGATGCAGGCAGCCTCCCAGAGCAGCGGCATTCCCTACATCCTCATTGTTCTTGGCTCTGCTATGGTTCTGACCCTTTCTTTTCTCTGCCTGCATGAACAAAAGCCTTAATCTCTACAAAGCCTAAAGCATTAGAATAGGATCCATTTCCTAGTAGGAAACTAGCTTTGTCCTATAAAACATTTCACAAAGCCGTTTTTTTGATCAAGTCCCATCCTAGCAGATGCCGTATTTTTAATAACCTCCCGTGACACATAAGGCTAACATTTTGGTCAAATAGCGAACTATGGTTTATGTGAATAGGGATTGCTGCGAAAGTTACTTTCTGATTCTGATAAAATTCATTGCTTTTCTTTGTCTAGGATGCTTTATTTCAAAAACTCATTGAATCACAAAGCTGCAAAGACCATTAAAGTTTAAATAGTCTAATAATTTATCCGTGGCATAGATGGGGAAACACATCCAGAGCAGGGGCTCCTCTGTCGTTAGAGAGTAGGTTAGAGACAGGCAGAGAGGACCTGGAAGCCAGGTGTGCAGGTTCCCAGGCCGGTGTTTTTCCCAGTCTATACTGCTGCATCTCTGAAAGCTGGGCATTGCTCCCGGAGCCCCTGAGCTTTGCTATAACCTCAGGAGCCCTTGTCCCAGCATATAGCTGTGATTGGTCTTACCCAGAGCCATTTCTTTCTGCACTCTAAAGTTGGCTTTGTACTCAAGTGCATGTCAGAAAATATTTTCTTCTCTAAAGAACCACAGCTCATCAGAACTGAAAGTCTGTGCCATTAAAACATATTTAATACGCCTATCAGTTTCTTAACTGCTTTGTGTTCAGACTAGTCCTGATCAGTTTGAAGGGGACAGAAGAGGCAAAGCCTCAACCTGTCCCCATGGAGATGTACCGTGAAGGGCTGAGTCAGGTGGTGTGGTGAAGGCCCTCAGTAGGCTAGAAATTCAGAGGGGGATAGAACTTAGCCCTGGAGCAGTTGAAGAGTGTTTCCTGGATTCGGGACTGGGGCCCAAGAGATTAGCAGGCTTAAGAAGACATAGAAGGCGTTCGTTCCTGAGCAGAGACACCACTGCTGGTGGGGGTGGGAGGAGAAGGCAGAGGAAGTAACAGTTACTAAATATGTGCTGCCCTCCTGACATTTCATTCATGTTATGTCACATAATCCTCTGAACAGCTCTGTGAATGCGGGGGTGTCTCGCCTCTTCTCCACCTGAGGAAAGTGATCTCGGAGAGGTCAAGTGACTAGCCCAAAGTCCCCAGCTCGTAGGTAGCAAGGTCAGGATTCATACCCAGGGCTGGAGACTCCAGCGCCCATCTTTCCGTTACCGCATACCGAAAGTAGAAGGAAGGGTAGGAGTTTGAGAGCTTCATCGTAATGGCTATAGCAGGGAAACAAAGGCTAGGAGGTTGACTGGAAAGAGGAATTCTAGACGGCTTCTAAAGCTGACTGAGGAGATTGGACTGATGTGATAGTAAATAGGGAGCCATTCAAGATTCCAGAAGGTTCACATAGAAACAGAGTTGAAGACTATGGAAGTCATGTAGCCAAAGAAGGAAAGCCGTGTTTAGGAGAACTAATCTGCAGTGTTTCTAGGGTGAGTTGGAGGGAGCAAGGACTGGAGCAGGAAGGCCAGCCCGTGGCTTCTCCTGGTTACCCTGTCTGCAGTAGTGACCCGCGGTGGGGGCCAGCACGGGAAGTGTCTGGGCCAGTACAGAGGAAGGCTCAGAAAGAAACCCAGTAGAATGTTGATGTAGTAGATAGGCTATGTCCCCACCACGGCCATGGCCCTGGCAGCAGCAGACAGGCCTGGGAACATGGGCTCTAGGGTCATACAGATTTGGGTTTGAATCTTGATTCCAAAATTTACTGCTAGTGTGTCTTAGGAAAGGTAATTTTGTCCTTCTGAATCTTTACTCACATCTGTAAAGTGGGAATAATAACTTCTACCTATTTCCATCTCTTAAAGTTGTTACAAGGATTAAATAAATTGAGGGTACTATACCTGGCTCATTACAGGTACTCAAAAAATAATACTGCCCCCCTTATCTAATAGAACTTTGGCCAAAGTGACTGTCATCTCTCTTTTCAGAATAGTAAATTAAAAGACTATAGGAAAGCAAGGCCCAGGGTAGAAAAGAGCAGAGATCTTTGAGAAACTGGAGCTGTCTTCCATCTCTGAGGTTTTCTGATTCTGAGTTAGATCTAATTCAAATTCCCTGCTTCTCCACTGTCTCAGGAAGCTTGTGAGGGCAGCTTCAGAGTGTCATCAAGGGAGGTGACTTGGGGCCCAGCAGGGAGCAGCAGGAAACTTGTCCCCGGCTTGCCTCATCTGGCACACAGACTGCCCACCTGCAGTTGCGACTGCAGAGGAAAGGCCAGACTTGACCTTGGATCCGTGTTGCCCAGCTGGCCCCAGGCAGCACATCCCACTTCCAGGGCTGCTTATCTTCCCGAGCCACACGAGCAGATTTGCAGGACTGAAGCAGGCAGCACAGGAAGACCGCGTGGATCTGGTTATCTGATATCAGGCCTGCAGAGATCTGAGTGATCTTGCGAGTAAAAGGAAGCAAAGGCAGATGAAGCCAGGAGGCTTGTTACTTACTGGCAGTCATGGGTGGGCTGTGTTCCGGGTTGTTTTGTTTTTGTTTTCTGATGATTGAAAAACCTCAGTAATTGGTGAAGGAGGAAGTGTTGCTGACTGACCTGTCTTCCCGGCTGTGTGTGTCCACCTTCTTTTCCAAGCCAGTCTTCTGTAGAAAGATCCAGTCATCTTTGAACAATAGTTCTTGCCTATCTGCCATCAGTTTGGGGTGTGCGCGGTCTCTCAGACCAAGACCTCTCCAGGGAGGTCTCCCGACCACAAGAGGTGGATGACCCACACGTCCTTCTGAAGACAAGGACTTTTGGCAGAGCCCCGTCATGACCCTTAGAAAGTCTAGCTCAATATCAGCTTCCTCCTCTCCTTCCCCTCAGAGGCCATTTGCACCCTCCATAGACTCACTAGAAACACAACATAAATGGCAATGTCAAAATCAAAACTATTTTTTAACGATAATATTAGCAAAGGGTTTTGAGTTGTTAAAAGAGCCAGAAGAGAAACAATTTGAAAACCTGTAGTTTATTGCTAGATCATTCGGAGTCTTTGACATTTACTGACGCTGCCCTGAAACTCTCTGAGTGCTTCCCTTATAATGAGCGTTAGATTATATTCTATTACGTGTGCCATCAGAATCAGACTGGGGATGCTGTGGCTGTGTTTAATCTGTTAAAGTCATAGGTGTTCTGAGCCAGAAGGAACTCAGAGGTGAAATCCCCCGTTCCCGGTTCAGTTCACGGGAAGCCGGAGCCAGAGGCGGGAAAGGACTTGCACAAACACACTCTGATGAATGGCGGAGCCTGGCAGCCGCCTGCCCCACTCCAGCGGGCAGTGGTTTTCAGACTTCGCTGTACACTGGAGCTACTTAGGGAACTTCCAGCCATCCTGGTACCTAGGCCGACCCACAGTAATAAATCAGAATCCCTGGGAATGGGGCCCTGGGACAAGCGATTTTTAGAGCCCTAGATGACCCCTGTGCGTGCCACTGCTGAAAGCCACTGTCCCAGCATGTTCACGTTACAGGGAGAGAAGTCTTTCTAAAGTGTAGGAAAGAAAGAAGTGAACCTATGTGTTCCTAGGTATGGTCAGGCTCTGAGTGGCCTCGTTACAACATGAGTGCAGCTTAGGTTCCCAGCCCTACAACTTAATCATCGAGTGACTTGGCAACTGGCATCACCTTTCTCAACCCAGTTTTTAGTTTTTCCATCTGAAATGAAAATCGTATCTCAACACCTTCCTTCCAGGGTTGCCATGAAGATTTGAGATAGTGGCTATAAAGCACTCAGCCCCTGGTGCGGGATAGGTATTTAGTAAATAAGTATTATTTCTCTTAAATAAAGCTAACGTACTGTTTATGGAATGGGTCCCTGATAGCTGTGCAGCAATGACTTTTAAAGGACAAGAAAAGTTTCCAACTGCCAGCCTGTCCGACTACACAGGTGCTTGTGTTCTTATCCCTTTCAGGTCCATCTGGGAAGCGGGATTTGGGTTGATGAGGAGAAATGGCACCAGCTACAAGTAACCCAAGGAGATTCCAAGTACACAAAGAACTTGGCAGTCATGATTTGGGGAACAGATGTTCTGAAGAACAGAAGCGTCACAGGAGTTGCCACAAAAAAAAAGAAAGATGCGGTCCCTAAGCCACCCCTCTCGCCTCACAAACTAAGCATTGTCAGAGGTAGGTCACTGCAGAACCGAAGCCCTGACGGAGGTGCTGCCCTGTACTCTCGGGACGGTACGGGACCCGGTTCAATTCCCCAAACATGAGGCTTCCCCATGCCAAGCCCTGGGTGTGGACCTCCTCCCAAAAGAGCTCACGTCTAACAGGGAGATGAGACGTGGACACAAGTACAGTTCGAGGTGCTAGCATGAGAGGGGGACTGATGACATGTTGAGGGACGTCTCAGGAGGGGAGGAGACCCCCAGCTGGAGAATCAAGGAAGGATTCCTGGGAAAGAGGGTCAGAGGGTCACCGCACTGGGCCTCAGAAGCTGTGCTCCTGACCACTAGTCTCTAAGTGTCCAGCCGCCATGCTTCAGTGAAGAAAGTAGACTCTAGCCACAAGGACATTTTGAGCAGGCCCCATGCCAGGGCAGACAACAAATATGTCGGGTAATTTCAGGTTTGGATGAAGCTGACGAAGCATCATCACATGTTATGGGCAGGACAGGGGGCTGTGTTAGCTGCGGCGGCTGGAGCAGGCCCGCTGGGAGGGGCTGGGGACTGGAGTGGAGGAGGCAGGCTGTGGACGGGAGGGGTGCTACGACGGGACGATAAACAGGTGCAGAAGCCAGCAAGCTCAAGGGATGAGGAAGCTCCGGACAGCCCCAGACTCATGGGGGAGAGCAGAGTGAGATCGGGAGGTGGGCGAGAGCGGGTCTTGAGGGCCGTGAAGGCCACGTGAACAGCTTGGATCCGCTCACAGGAGAAGGACACGGGGGGTCTACAGATCGTGGGGTGACCAAATGGGAGGCTCGTGCAGGGGCTCAGTTGGAGGTGACAGTGCCATGGACCTGAGGTTAGAGCAGTGGGCGTGGGAAAAACAGCCAGATTTAGGGTATGTTTGGGAGGTCAGGGTAGAGGACTTGGCGAGATTAAGTGCCCAGCCTGGGGCTGCCGCCCTGACTCTGGTGTGCTGCAGCACAGCTGCCTGCCTGCCTCATGACTACTGATGTAGGAGCCACGTATCTTTAGACAGTCAGGTAACCTTTAGTTGGCTGCTGTCTCGAACGGTGGGTCCTGAGTCGGGAGGTCGCCCTGAGAGAGCAGCCCTCCTGGGGAGGCAGCCCCGCCCCGCCTGATAGGTGCCTGCCAGTGACCGGCCAGCCCCTGGCCGTGCTTGCTCTAAGATCACCTGCCGTGTGTCGGCCTCAGGCACCAGCCTGACCTTCCCTGATTCCGCTCCACGTCCTCGCTGCCTGGCACAGGGCCTGGCACACAGTAGGAGCTCAGTACGTGAAGTCTGAACAAACGGAACAGGAGAGCGGCAAGCTCATCCCCGACTGGCTGGCTCTTGGGGTGATTTCTTGCAAATCACGTCCCCTCTGTGTCTTAGTTTCCTCAGTGGAAGCTTGCCTCTTCACACAGCTGAAAGGGCTGCGTAGGGTTACAGCTTGGGAATGGTGACGTTCCAGCTACCAGAGGAGACGTTCTCTGCCGCCACGTGCTGCCCCCACAGAGCCATCATGACCCCCTGATGATCACATCATCGAAGCTCCCCATCTTTCTCTTCAGCTTTGGGGCTCCCCCTGCCCACTCCCGGGGCGGGCTGATGGCAGGTGGAAATAGCCAGGTCTCCAGAGCCTGCGGTGGAGCCTGGGGTGGCTTCGGGGTCGCGTGGAGCCCACCCTGGTCCATACAGCCTTCACCTCTGTTTCCCCGAGCCTTGTGCGCCACAGGTACCGAGCCGATGCCCGGTGTCTCCATCCGTAAGGCCGGGATCGCAGTCCTCGTCCTGCTGCCCGGTGGCCCACACACACATTTCGAATGTTCCTTAAACCCCGTTCAGATGACATCCCATGCAGCCGAGGGGCCCCCGGTGCTAACAGAACCCCGGAGCCATGCAGCGTGGGGCCATCCCAGGCTCACGGTCTTCAGCCCCACCTGCCAGCCCCCGGCTTTCCCCACTGACCCGCTCCCCTCTTTCCCACGCCCTTTTTAAACCTCTGCTTTTCCTGACAGGATGGCCCACACCTCCCTCCTTCTCAAAAGACGGCCTTGCTTCTTCCTCGCTAAAGAGAAAAGGACTTGCGCAGCTCTGAGCTGCAGGCCTCACTGGAATTAACTGTCCCCTCCGTTCTTCTGCCTCACGGCCCCAAACAAGAGTTGCTGTCTTCTTTGGGGCTTCTGGGTCCCAGCCCTCCTGGCCTCCTCAGTACCTGCAGGCATGCTCCCGCGCTCCTGCTTCCTTCCAGGGGCTCGTCTGTCTCTCGAGGCTGCTTGTACCTCCCCCCTGCTGCCGTGTTTCCTTTGGCCTTTTCATGTCCGGGTTTCTTATGTGTTCAATGCCCCTGCTGTCTGGTGTCCACCCCCAGCCCTCTACTCAGTCTGCTCCTGCCGAGTGTCCCATGGACTCCCTCCTTACCAAATCGGGCACCTCCTCCCCAGGCTGTGTGATGGGACCACTCCTCCTCTACTGAGGGACCATCCTTGAGCTCGATTCCTCCTGCTTCCCTGGCTTCTCGTCCCTTCTGTGGGCTGGTCTTCTGCTGGCCGCCTCTGTCCCCAGGGTGCCCTCTCTCTCACTCCCCAAGGCCTCCCCCCGCCACTTCCCACTGGGCCTCTGGCCCTCTCTGTGTGCCCACGGCCGGGCTGAAGTCCGCACTCCTTCACGGCTGCGGACCCGGTCTCCAGGGACCCCTCTGCCCTCCCCTCACGCCACGCATCCCGTTCCCCACTGTGCTCTGGCCACAGGGGCCTCTTCCTCTTCCTTCCCATTCCCACCGTCAGCGGTGGCCTCCGCCTGCCCCGCACATCCTGCGTCCTCCTGGCCATCCAGAGCGGCATCCCAGCAGCCCACCCACCGTAGCCTTCCCTCTGCTCTCTGTCAGGTCAGCATCCCCCAGAAAGTCTGCGAAGCATTCTCATCTGTTCCTTAACCTGGGTAATTGTCTCCCCAGCCCCGTGCCCCTTAGAATGTACGCTCCTGAGCATCCTGTTCAGGCCTAGCGGGTAGTGAGTGCTCAGAAAACATCTGCCAAATCAGTGAACGATGTTCCCAAATCTGTCTTTGGCTCCATCCACACTTCTGAGTTCCCGAGCTGAACATCGAGGTGCCCTCGGCACCCATACAGCTGCCCCCCCTCAGTGCTCTCCCCCTTTTCCTGTCTCCAGGGCCTCCCGCCCCTTCCGTATTCCCCGTCTTGGTGAAGGGCACCAGAGATGCATCACGCTCGAGTCCCCCCCACACCTCATTCTGTGTTTTGTGCCCCCAGGTACCTTATCCGCCCCCTGCCCCCCTGCACCCCTCACAGCCCCTGTGTCTCCCCCATGCTGCTCCAGCAGCTTCCAGACTCCTCCCTGTCCATTATGTAACCAGAAAGCAGACACGATCCTGTTAGCACCACCCCGTCACAGCCAGGCGTGGCGCCCATTATTAAAAGTTAAGCTTCTTACCATGTCATGGAAGCACCTTTGTGACCTGGCCCGGCCAGCACCCGGCTGTTCCCCAGCCGTACACCCGTAGAGCTCTTGCCCTGGTAACTGTGGTCCCCCCCGAACAAGCCTGGCTCCCTCGTCCGGGAGTCTGTACGTGGTTCCTGTGCCTGGGCCACCCGTCCCCTCGCTGCTTTGCCTGCCTGGCTGCCACCAACCACCCAGACCTGCTCAGACAACCTGCCTGCGGGAAGCCTTCCCTGGCCTCTCAGGGCGGTGGACACTTCGGTGTGTGTCCCAGAGCCCATCGTGCCCACTTCTGTTCTCTTCCCACTGTATCTCTGCCTCCCAGGGGCCTGCTCCAGCGGCAACCGCTCAGCCCAGAAGTGCTTGCCCTGCAAGTGAGTGGGGAGGGAGGTGACTTGCCCAAGGCCTTCCATCTGGTTAGGTCAGAGCCGGCCAGAAGGAGGCTTTCAGACCTCCTTGTCTCCAGAGGGTCCACAACACAACGTTGGTTCTTTCTTTAAGTATAACCAGCTCCCACGGGGCCGGGGAGACAATTACCTACTAGGCAGGTTTGAAGTCGGTCTCCTATCCCACCGCACATTCACCGTTTTAGCCGAATTATTTGAGCTCCTCGAGACTGCATCGGACGGCCCTTGCCACGCAAGCTCCTTGTGGATTGAGATTGCGTGTGTTAATTTGATTTCTACCACATTTAGTCTCACTTGCCTACAAAATGGCAATCCTTGATGCTCACGAGGATTTTCTCGTCTCTTTGATTTCAAGGTCGTTCCTTGCGGGATGGCAGCAAGACAGGTGAATACGACACCATTTTAGAACATTGAAAGCAGGAGAGCTGTAGGAGATCTTGCTTTAATGATAAGCTCCAGGATGACAGTTAAACCTTATTAAGGCCAAATGACCTTTTGCAGAGTGCCTTGAGTTTTCTAAATGAGCCACAGCATTGAGTTCTGGTTAATTTTTATAACTTTTTTAATAGGACACATTAGCGCTGTTATAAACCTTGTTAATTAAGCAATAATCTCAAACGCTCCCTCGCAGAGGGAGACATTCCCAGCAAGTGCAGGTGATTAATATCTAGAGTCTAACAAAGCCTTTTAATCAACCGGAGGGGCCGTGCAGCACTCCTGCCCCCAGGACACGAGTACGTTGGGATTCTGGGGAGGACTCTTGGAAGACCTTCCTCCATTTGCCCCTCCGGTGACCCCTGCCAGGGCGCCGAGGGCCACCCCCCCCACCGGTCTCGCCCCTTCCCTCTTCAGCCTCTCTACCACCCCCCTACCTTCCAGGCAGCTGCAGACTGAGCCCTGAAACAATCCCCTCGGATTATCTGGTTTGCCGTCCTACCTTCACAGATGGTAAAACTGAGACCCGGGGAGATGCCCTTAGAGGCTGTGCAGCAACTAGGGCAACAGCCAGATTCGACCCCCTGAACTTTGAGACGGTTCTCAGCCTCCTCACTTGATTCCCCGTGAGTGTCAGCTTCCTCCTGGCCGGGGCCGAGATGGAGTGTTCAGGCGTTCCTGTCTGTGGGAGAGACGCCGGTCACAGTCTTATTAGACCTCGATCTGTGCTTGGAGAGAGTCAGGAGAGTGTGGGAACACAGAGGCCGTGGGGTCTCTTAGCGCCATCTGGTCCGTCCCGTGGAGGCTGAGTCTGGAAGGATGAGTAGGATTTAGGCACTAGAAGGAGCCAGGCTAATCAGGGAGGAGACGATCAAGGACACAGAGTTGTGGGACAGCCTGGAGCCAGTGGGGGGGGGGGGGGAGTAGCTGTTTGCCGGTGGACCTCGCAGCAGGCAGGACGGAGAGGGATGGGGCCTCCTACCTTCTTGTCTCAGTCCCTGTGGAAAGGCCAGGACAGGATGAAGTGGAGATTAGCAGGCCAACCAGAAGGCTTGTAAAGCCTGTCAGTGGGGAGGGGAGGGTAGCCCGGACACAGAACGCCTATGGCACATGTGCACCTGCAGTGCAGATGGCACCAGGGGGCAAGCTGGTCGCGTGCACAGGGGGGCTTGGTGCTGGGGGCGGCTGCAGGCCTGCACCTGCTCTCGTGCAGTGCTGACATGCTGCATCTCCAACAGGACTACCTGCCACGGGCTCACCTGCTAGACAAGATTTTGTTTAGCCCCCCTGGCAGCTCGTGAAGACTGGGCGAGGAAGTGCAGGTTCAGAGAGGTTCAAATTCTTGCCTTCGATTTTATACTCCAGCGGTACCTTCCCCATGCACACCCACAGTCCCTCAAGTCCCCTAGGTTTCCCTGGAAAACTGTTCATTCACTTAACATGTGTTCGCTTAACCTTGTCCCTCCGCAAGTTCTTCTAGGCCCTGGGAACGAACAGTCGTCCCCATAGAAGTGTAGTGTTCCTCGCGGTTCCAAGAACGCTTATGAAATGTTTATGTCGCATGCTTCATGGCAGCCTTAAAAAAGCTAATCTGTGGTTTGTTGACCTTCGTTATGAGATGAGGCGGCATCTAGGGCAATGATTTGCCTCAGGTCCCCAGGCTAGGAAGTGGGCTGCAGTTAGGCTCCTGTCAGACCTCGTCTGAGGCTCACTCTTGGCTTCGTCAGGAAGAGTGGCCATCCTCAGCCTCGTTAGTAATCACCACCATGGGATGCCACGTCACACCCACCAGGCAGTCAAAGCCTTAGGAAGCTGGCAATGTCAAGTGCTTTTGAAGATACAGGGCAACCAGTACGTGCATTCACTACTGGTAGGATTGCCGGTCAGTGCCACCACTTTGGAGAACAGTTCACTAGGCACCACCCAGGAAAGTTGGGGACGCACACCCCCTAGCATTTGGCAGTTCCCCACGAAGGCCCATCCCCTGGAGAATTTCCTGCACGTGTGCTCCACGAGACGCGCACCAGGGAGTTGGTAATTGCAAAACACTGGAAACAATCCAAGTATCCATTGATGGTAAAATGGATTGGCAGACGGGGAAGTAGTCCCTTCAGGAGACTAGTACCCGTCAGTGAAAATGGATGGGCCGCAGCTGCACTTGCACTTGGGTAAATCACAAAACCGTAATGTTGAGTGAAAACAGAGTCAAAAAGATACATAAGGTCTGGATACACTAGGGGCACAGGTAAAAAACAGGGAAGAGTAAGCAGTGTGCTAGTTAAGGATGTATAGATACGTGATAACACGGAAAGGAAAGAATTCAGGAGAGTGCTTCCCTCGGTGCGGCGGGTTTGGGAGGGGCCTCCAGGGGCTTCGAGGGGACCAGCCACGCCCCACTAAGCTGGGGGTGGGCACACGGATGTTGTATCATTATTTTAAAGCGTAAGCTGACAGTTTATCCTTTTCTGAGTACATTTGTGGTAGAAATCCAAGGGTGCAGCTGTGCCGGGCCTGGGCCCTGGTGTCGGGAGGTAGGTCGGGAGGCAGGTCGGGAGGCGGGTTTTCGTTGCGCCCTTGAGAGGTCGTGCTGCCCCGCTCCATTAACGCTCGGCCGTCTTGTCTCCCTGTCCAGAGTGCTTGTATGACAGGATAGCACAAGAAACTGTGGATGAGACTGAGATCGCACAGAGACTCTCCAAAGTCAACAAGTACATCTGTGAAAAAATCATGGACATCAATAAGTCCTGTAAAAACGAAGAACGAAGGGAAGCAAAGTACAATTTGCAATAAACTTTGGATTTTTCATAAAGCCTTATCGTTTTCCTTGCGTGGCCCGTGATCAGGGCGATGGTGCCGCCCAGACCGGCCGCCATCCGTGGCGGTGCGTGCGCCGGGAGCCAGCCGGTTTCCAGGGCCTCGGCTTGCCCTGAACTTGGACTTCCCACTCCAAAGACGTCAGCCGGACGTGCCGAGACTCCGGCAGCGCCCTGGCGCCAGCGTCTTTGTGGGGATGGGGAAGCGCTGTCTTTGCGGAGGGGGACGGAGTGTCTGAGCTGCCTACACACTTGACTGAGAATTTGAACTAATATTTTTACCATTCAAGGACTTCTATCTCTGTTTCTCTATTTTGTTCTATAATAAAGCTTCATTAATTCTTTGATGTAGACAATCATTATCCTCATTTATTTAAGGATATCAAGTGTACAGTGGAGGTGACCAGTATCCTTTGAGGGGTGGACCATTCAGGCGGAAAGCCAGAAAACTCATAAGGGGTGTGGTTGCCGTCTGCAGATCTGAAGGGCTGCCTCGAAACCAAATCACTGTCTCTTACTTCAAAGGACAGACCTAGGACCAGACGCCGCTCTCACTCAAGATGATCTGAGATCCAGCTTCCTTGATAAATTGAACCCATCTCTGTGAAAGGGTGTAGGCGCGGTAATGTGAGATGTGGTCCAGCGTTACCTCCAGGAAGTAGGGGGCAATGTCACCTCGTGTCAGTTCGTTTATCCTTTTATATCTCAAATGATCTTTCAAGTTACATAATTTTTATCTCATGCAGCAACTGCTTCTCTAAGGTGCCTGGCGCGCAATCTGGCAACCACATTCGATCTTCCTGTTGATTTGCACTTTCTGTAATGCCTGTGAAGTCAGCATGGTATATTGGAAATGGCAAGGGTTTGGGGCTGAGCTCCTGGGTTCCAAGCCTGGCTCCCCCGCTTGCTTTGGGCTTAACCTAACCTCTTGAGTTTCCGTTTTCTGTTCCGTAAAAAGGAGATACTATCTACCTTGCAGAGTGGCTATAAGAATTCCTTACCGATATATAAAGTGTTCAATAAATGTTGCCAATTATTATTTTCTTCATTTCTGGTTATTGGCTTTTAGGAACTGGTTGGAAAACTCTGGCCTCTGGTTTTCCTAATGCTTCACCCTTGAGACCATGGAATGTCTGTAAGCAAAAGGTCAGGGTCACTGGGATGAGTAGGGGAGGTGGCTGCCTCTTTGAGGAATTTTATTTCAGTAAATAAAAGAGTCCTTGGTAATGTGACATGTTGTACTCTTGCTCATAGGATGTGTAGGTGTGAATTTCCTTTTATGGCATTTCCCCAGCTTTCCACAAACTAGCAGTGCGATCTTGGACTGACCACCTAACACCTTAAGAGTCCTTATCAGTATATAATGAGGAAAATTCTGTCTACCTCACAGGCTGTATGGTTAATTAATAACAACAGACTATATATGTCAGGACTTCTCTAAACATTTAACATAGTTTTACTCATTTCCTGAGTAACGTTCAAGGCAGTAGTCGTGTTCAGTAAATCCATGCTGCTAAGATGGGTTCATTTCAACGGTGTGGGCATGAGTAGCACAGAAGCATGAGAGACTGGAGAAAAGTCTGCATTACTCTGAGCTCATCCCCTGTCCTCCCCAACTGTGGCGAAGATACGCGCAGGAGCTCCGTGCCTTTCCCTTCAAAGACTATTTTATAATACGGTACCCGCTGTATAGGTGCTTTTACATTAGTGGAGGAAATAGTCATGGAAATCTACCTTTAAAAGCTATGGGAGATGTGAAGGTGCTTTATATAACGTACATCACATAGAGTAGGGACACATAGGGTGTGAAAGATTCTGGGATCTGTGTTCAAATCCTGACTTTACCACTGCTGACAAGGTCATTTGGCCTGTCCGTGCTCATTTCTTTTAAAGTAGGGATAGTGATCCCAAACTCAGGGTTGTTGTGGAGAGTATTCCAGGTAATATCTGGAAATCTCAGAATCACCCGGATGTCACTTTTAGCTCTTAAGGCAGAATAGAATCAAAAGTGGATGTGACAAGGCAGGACATAGAGCCAATTCTGATGAGCAATCAGGAGAGGTTTGGAGCCTAGTTAGACTGAGATGGTTTTGAGTCCCTCTTGTGTGCCTAGTACCCTGTTACTGTCCTACAAGGATGAGGCCATCACTCCTATATCTGTACCAATGAAGAAATGGTCACAGAAGAGGTTAAATGACATGTTGGCCAAGGTCTCAGACTTGCCAGCAGTGGAGCTGGATCAGAACCCAGGTCTGTGCAGGATCTGCCCTTTCACTCTTCCCTGACAGGTGAGTGGGATCTTAAGGTCTGAGACTCCAGGACTGTCATTGCAGGGTATCTTAGAGAGACCCAAACTCCGTAATTGGAAATGGGTCTCATTAATTCAAGCCATTTGGAGGAATTACAGCACCCATTATAAGGATTCACAGTTTTATTACATTCAAATACATACACAAAACGCAGATTCATTTTGTGTAGTAGAGAGTAGAGAGTTTCCAAATGTGTCCAATATTAAGAATTTGCTGAGGCTTAAAGTACAGACTTCTGGGCCATGGCTTAGTGCGCTTGAGTCAGGAAGTTTGAGATAGAGCTGGGGACGCAGGTGCCACCCCTCAATACTTTGAGTCTAGTGGAAGTCATCAGAAGACCTGCTCTAACGGAGGAACAACAGTGGTTTCCAAGTAAAAAGACGTGTTCCTTCTAAAGCGCCTGAGGGTATCTGGAATAAATCTTCTTTTAAATAGCTAAGGATCCACCCCGAAAGCTTGTTTGGAGTCACTCTTTCATGATCACCAAGTGCCGTGTAGTTGGACATGATGCAGAAGGTGACTTTCAGCTTAAGCACCAATGAGCGTCCCCTCGCTTTTGTCCTTAGTTTCTTTCTTTGGGTTCCCGTAACAGGCCAGGGAGTTGTGTAGGATGGGACAGTCAAGACTGAATCGGCAAAGCCTGGGTTGATGAGGTTTGGGCACTGTCTTCAGAAGCCCTGGCAACAAGTTCTCGGTTCCCAGATGAACCTGAAAGACGTGGCTTGTTTTTATTTTCTGGCAGAGGAATGTGTGTTAGCGACCATTACGTGCACACGATGTCTTGGATGCATTTCAAATCATGACTTGCTTTTGTAGTTATAAGGAAATGCCATCACTTCATAGAAATTTTTTGGAAAATAGGGAAAATGTCCCAAACCAGGCTACTGCAGGCATTGTGATGTATCCCTCGTGGTCTCTTTTTCAAGGCCACAAGTATGCGTTTTACGTACCTGAGATCCTAGCATACGGACGAGGCTCGTATCCCTCCCCTTCCATTTCTCACGTTTCCCTGCTGCTCTGTGAAACTCGACTATCAATTCCAGCATCCCCCAAGCAGACGGCCGTCAAGCTGTGGCGGGGTCAGCCGCGCTGGGCCGCGGGGCCGAGGGGGTGCCAGGTCCTGAGAGGTGCTGCTGCACCCGGGGCCCAGTGTGCCGGCGGCCAGAGCCCGGTCTGGAGGTCAGCGGGTTCGGGTTCAGTCCCAGCCTCGCTCGTACTGCCTCACCCGGTGTGGGTTCCGTCCTCTCTGAACACCAGCTCCTCCGTTTGTAAAATGGAGAAATAATGTCCCGTGGTGGGGGGTTAGGAGGACTGAGAATGTACTTGAAGCACCGGGCCCACCCCCTCTGCTCTGCTCTCCCCACACCCATCACCCATTCAGGCCCCCTGACCCCAGTGCCCCGGGCCGGTCCCCAACCTGCTCTGACCCCTTACGCGGTGCCCTGCCGCAAGGCCCCAGACAGCCTGTCTTCATGCCGCTGCACTTGGAGCTCGTGGGCTGCCCGTGCACACCAACCCGCCCCTCACGCCTCTAGCCCCGAGGAACCCAGCGGCCCACTTGCCCCTCCCTGGCTCGTAGCGGCTTATAAACAAAACTCAGGGCAAGATTTCTGTGTGCGCAGTTTTTTCCCTCCATATTTTCTGTCATTTTCTTAAAGTCATCTTACCTGGGTCAAAAGAAATAATAACATTTTTTTTATCATTCTTGATACATGTAATGAGTGTCACCATGTTCTCAATCATTTTGCCAACTTAGCAGGTGAACACTAGTACCTCGTTATATTTTCTTTGATTATTTCTGAGATTGCACAGTTCCCCAGAGTCGGTTGGGCCTTGTTTGCAGAAAATAAAACCTCAGCCTGTGAAAATCTCCAGCAGAATCCATTTCGTTTTCTGTGTTTAGTTTTCTCTGGACAATGTGTTTACGCTGGGCGCATAAGTTTCACCTTTATATCTGCAAATAGACAAGTCGCCAGATACATCCATCACTGCCTTCGAAACGGCTTCATAGGCTCGAGGAACTTTGAGTCAAAAGTGAGCTTTGAGGTCCTCTACCCAGACCTCCTATCCACGTAAGCAAACTCCTTGCCAGACCATGCTTGGATACCCACAGGCGCGGGGGAGTCATCTTCCCACCCAGGAGTCCATCCAGTTCTTGCCATCACTGGCATGTTCTTCGGCTGCGCTAAACACTCACTTCCCTGAGACCTCTGAGGTCGTTGAGATTTTCTCCTCTGAAGTCACCCAGGACGCTTCTCCTCATAGCCCTTTGCTGAGTTGAAGGCGACAGTCGTGTCTCTCCACCACCTAACGAGTAATTCAAATTCCGTTTTACCGTTTTCACAAGAGGGAGGCTGCACGGGGAAGAGCAGGGCTTCCGGACTTGGCGCTGTGTTCGCACTCTGACCACCACTCACTAGCAGGGAACCTTGAATGAGAGCTTAGCCTCCCTGAGCTTCACCTCTCTCGTTTCTCAAGTGGGAGCGGAAGGCCGACCTGCCAGGGCGCAACAAGGCCTTCGGGAGGTGACGTGCGTCAAGCAGCTAGCACTCGGTGTCTCTAGGCCAATCCCAAGAGCTCTGACCATCCTGGTTGCTCTTTTAGGTTGTGTCTCTAAAAGGTAAGGTTCAAGACCGGACAGGGGCTTTAGGAAGGGCCCGAGTGCCACTAACCAGGGCAGCTTCTCGCCTCTTAATGCTGGCGTAGCTCTGTCAGCGTGGCCCAACCCTGAACGAGCACCTCCTGTGATGCTCTCTTGTGGCGTGGAGGGCCACCAAACTCGCCTCTGCTCCCTCTATTTGGCTAACACCATACTTGTCCCTTCAGCTCACAGTTTTATAAGAGCAGCACACGTCTTGGAGCCAGAGAAGCTCACACAAAATTCAGATCCTGACTTCACTATTTATTAGATTGGAGGAAATTGGTCAAGTTTATAATGTCCCCCAGCCCCCGTCACCTTGTCCTGTATGCAGTTGTTCTGGTGATCATACTGGCCTGCCCCTATGCCAGGCCTAGTGTCCCTGCCATCCTAGCTCCGGCTTCCGTAG